TGGTCAGAAAACACACTTGAATGTGTCAGAGCCTGTGCACTCCTTAATAATCGATGGAAATTGTTGCAGGCACAAGACAGCATCAGTTAGTTAGGTCATTTAGGAACTCTGGCTGGAGTGAACTGGGAAGGGTCAGGTGGAAGAGGCCAGCCCTTGTAAGGGTGTGGGTGGCAGGCAGAGTAATCCTTTCTCATGCCCCTACCCCCACCCCATCCACCTTCATTTCTCTTTCTATCCCTTTTTATTCCTTAAGAAATTTCAGATCAGTTTTCCTTTCAAGACTCAAGTACATTAAGAAAAATCAGGATGATTTCTCATTGTGGAGAAATGGAGGCATGAAAGGAAAAAGACCCTTTTCCACTCTCTTCTGCTATTTTGCCACCGGTCCACAAGCTAACATGGCTGCTGTGGTTACATACACTTGAGTGTGGAGACATAGCTTACGTGTTACATATTCTGATTTGGGAGCACCTCCATTTACAGCTGTAAGATGGCATCACTGCTGGCTTTCACACACAGAGCGTGGTACAATTTTCTTCCATTTTCCTCATTTGCATATTGAAATTCTATTCGCAACCACCAGCCATTTACATGTATATATTCAAGCGGTCCTTGGATTCTCTTCACAGCATTGCATTTTATGAGCGGGCCATCTTCGTTCATGTTTTATTGCAGAGAGATTACCATTACTATTAGGCATTTTAAAATATGAGCAATGATGACTTACAAAACAGCAAAAATTAAACAACCTAAGACACACAAAAACAACCCATCAAATTCAGAGGCCGGGAAGTGTGGCTGGAAGGTTACCGCTCCCGTCCAAACGAAACCTTTTAGCAATGATTGCATTGCCTTTCATGCTGTAAATGACAGTCCTCCAGCAGGGCTCCACTCCTCTGATCAAGCTCACATCCTCTCTGTAATTGGCTGCCCACGAAACCTTCCTCACAGACGGCCTTGTTAGCACATGGGGAAAGAATGGTACAGGCAACACATCAAAAGGTTGAATACGAAAAGAGAATGAAAGACCCTCGTAGCCTGCCGCATCCTGGTAATTGGAGAGCGGGAGAAGCTTTGTGTGTGTATGTGTGTGTACATGGCCACAGCAGCCCCTACATTGAGGACTGCCAAACGGACAGAAAATAATCAGGTGGGAGAATACAGATACTGTGGGACAAAAGCAGTTAAGTGAATGCACACTGGCAAAGAGCATGCATTTCACAGAATAACTTCCCAGTCTTTAGATGAAATCTGCCGCTGAGGCTACCAAACACCTGTGCGATTGTCTCCTGATCATAGTGATCAATGGATTTGATCGCTGCAGTCCAGGGGCTCCGCGGCTTTGACTTTTGCCTTTCCTTTAATGTGAAAGGTGTGATGGAGAACAAAAGCATTTGCCATTGGAACTCCCATTTCCAAGTGGGTGTGAAAGCACAGGAGAGTGTAAAGAGAATTGCTCTTGGATCTGAGGAGAACTGGGTTTGATCCCGGGTTTGTTGATTCTTGGCTGTGTGACATCAGGGAAAACTGTCAACCTTCGAACCATCAGCTGGCTCAGCCATTAATTAGAGATAATAATCTCTCCTTCATGGAGTTTTCTGGGGATTAAATAACTTGATGTGACAAATAACATGGAGAATCATACCTGTCCCTTAGTAGACAGTTAGTTGTAGCCGTAGTTATTGCTATTTCTATTTGTTGCGAATAAAGCACTTTATAGGAATTAAAAAGAATGAAGATTCCCTTTGGCCTGACCTTGGGGCTGACTTTAGCATGACTGAATAGTTGGTGATATCCTCTGTCCTTGCTTTATTTTTAAAGTTCATTTATTTATTTTGAGTTGGGAGAAGGAGGAGAGAGAGAGGGAGACAGAGAATCCCAAGCAGGCTCCACACTTTGAGCACAGAGCCCAATGCAGGGCTCAATCCCACGAACTGTGAGATCATGACCTGAGCCAAAATCAAGAGTCAGACGTTCAACCAACTGAACCACCCAGGCACCCCCTGTCCCTTTTATAAAGAGAAGAGGAAGAAGCATCTTCCCAATTTGAAGCAGAAGCCCTGAATGTCAGGAAGAAATCTCACCCATACAAAGTACACTCCATCAATACGTGATGTATCTCTTGCAGTGTTTAGGGGATTCTCTTCCCCTGACCCTACACTCATCTCAGAGATGTGCTCTGCTCATCCACAGACTAACAAAATGTGATATCCTCCCTTTATAAAGAGCACAGAAGTTATTACCATTGCCCTTTCACTATAAGAATTGTCTTCCATGTCCTCTTTGAAGTAGAAGTTGTGGGCAACCCAGATTATCTCCTTGGTGACCACAGCTTTGCAGTTTCCAGGAGTGTCTGCCACTAGTGGCTCTCAGCCGAGTCTTTCCCTGGGAATTTCTTTCAGCCAATGGGCACTAGCTCACCCAGGTTTCTGTCCCTTCCTCGTGACAGCCTTTATCCAGTGAGCCACAGATGCAAATGCAAACAGTTGGCCCTCTTGCCTCAGTTAGTGACGACTCAGAAGGGCCATCCCAGGTCCTGAAGTCCCGGGAAATCAGATGACCCTCTTACCGGACCTGCATTACAGTCGAATTTCTCCTCCTCCTCTCATCCTTTGGAATCCCCGGTAGGAGTTGCTCCCGAGAACACTCCAGTGTCACTTAGGGTTCTCTAAGAAGCAGAAGCGGAACCAGGATTTGACATCCAAATATATGTTTTGGGAAAATGCTACTGAAAGACACCAGGGTAAGGAGGAATAAGCAGTGGAGAATTCAGACCGTACCACAGAAGTGGGTAAGGAAAGCAGATGGGACTGTTAAGAAAAGTGTCTGAGGGCAGATGGGGGTGGGGGGGAGGGGAAGGGGGGAGATGGGCATGGAGGAGGGCACTTGTGGGGATGAGCACTGGGTGTTATATGGAAACCGACTTGACAATAAACTATTTAAAAAGGGGAAAAATAAAGAAAGAAAAGTCTCTGAAAAAGCCTTACCCTGGTTGATAAGGGGCCCCAAACAATGACTGCCCATTAGAAGAGTCCTGAGCTGGCCATAAACATCCTGTCTCTAGGACCCTTGCCATGGAGAAGCCCAAGGAGACCATGGTCACGGGTGAATGCTGGAAAAAACTAAAAACTGAAGGTGTGGCATCTAGAGTCTCTCAGTCCACCATTTTCTTCTGATAGGTTGTTTTGTGGCCAGATCTGAGTGGCACATCCCCATGGCTACCAAATGTCCTTGATTACCTACCTTCCTGCAGTGAAAATCTACAACTCCAGTTCTGGGCGGGGGGGAGGGGGGGTGGAGACTGACATAAGGCAGTTGGTATTTGGAGTGTTCTGAAGAAGCGGATCCTGAAATGGGGTTGTGACGCTGGGTTATATGTGGGCTGGCTGCTCATGAAGACCCCATCACTGGGGCAGGTAGAGAGCTCCCGACCTGTCATGTGGTCGCTATGCCACTGTTAATAGTTCCCTGATGGTTAAAAGTTGTCTGATGGCTAAAGGTGGAGTGGAGATTCTGGGACACCGATGAAAGGGAATGCAATGGCAGGTGCCATATCTCAGGCATTTGAGAGGATGGAGCAGTAGTATTATAGAGACAAAGGAATCCGAGGACTGTTGTCGACACAGTTTTGCAGGGAGAAAGACAATGAAAGGTTGAGAATGATTAATCACCAATTAAAGGTAAAGTGTGAAAGTCAGTGGAACTCTCCAAGGCAGCACATAAAGAGGCTCTTATCTCCTGGAGCCAGAGGGCAGAACAGGCCAAAGATCAGACCCAGGACTTAATTAGAAGGATAACAAAGCTCCAGAAATGGATAAATTCTCAACTCCGGTAAAGCTGTTTTCCCAAGGTCAGCACCCTTGTTGGGGGAAGAGTAAACCATAAGTATCTAAATGAACACACTCAAATATATTGAAATTCCAGATGCTTATGAAATCTTGGGGCCTGCAGAAGTGGCCCACCGATCCTTATTAAACACCACAGCTACCTTCTTTGCTGAAGACAATGAGGACACTTCCGAATGCCCTGCGGGATGGCATTTGGCCGGGTTAGCATCTACCCTCCTCTCTTTTCTTGGTCACTGCACCATAAATTAGGGCTAAGTCTTTATATAACATGCTGGAAAGTGCTGGGCCTCGTAAGGAAGAAACAAACTATCCTTTGAAAGAATCATAGGCCCTAACCCTCATATACTGGCAACCGCTAGGAGAGTACTCTGGAACAGAATCCTGAAGGTGCTAGATCACAGGGTTAGAACGTGAAATTCTCTGGGGGAGAGTTTATTATTACTGGAGTACATTCTGAGAACCAGAAACAGTTGGCCAGGCTAAAGCCTGGGGATAAAGATGTACAGATATAAAACTGAAGGAAAAACAAAAGACACAGAGGTCTCATAGGTCATGTTGAGAACTTGGGACTTGATTCTCCTTCATGAGGTTGATTTGAATTTTATATTGCTATATTTTAAACTGTTTTAATAACTTTAATAAAATAAGGAAGGTCTTTCAAATATGCAAGAAATTACACACTGGGCATGGCCAATTAACTTCTCCTGTCGTTTCTATTCAACCAAAAAACGATCTGAGATTGCAGAAGTAGCCAGTAAAAACATGTTCCTAATTCCAAGTATTTATTGGTGTAAGCTGGGGTTTATTTTAATTTCTCTAAAGTCTAAGCCAAATACAGAAATAAAACTGAACATGAAGCTGACATAAGGCTAATATTTTATACAAAAATCCAATTTCAAATTTTAGTAATGATCTTCATGCTTTCATTGACTGGCTTGACATTAATATCAACTGGTTAGGATTCATAAAATAAGTTATTGTAGTATAAAATACTAGATCCAACTATTTAATACTTTGAGGTACTTATTTATTTGTTTGTTCGTTTATGTATTTCTTTATGTAAACTCTGTCCCCAATATGGGCTTGAACTCAGGACCCTGAGATCAATAGTTGCATGCTCTACCAACTGAACATACTTTGAGATATTGCTTTGTTTCCAAATAGTGCCCCACACACATAAAATATGAGTTGAAAATCTCAAGCATTGGTAATGGTGAGCTGACAAAGGATTTAAGAGCCGCATGATGATATATTTGAAAAACCCACAATCATCTTGATGGTGAAGTTAGAAAAAGAGAGAGTTGAGTCTGAAGTACCGTTATTGTTATCCAGGGAAGAGCTGGTCCTATGACTCTCAAAAGTCACACTGAGACTGGGGAGGAGTGAGAGGAGAGAATGGGGTGGCAGGCATCGAGGCATAGAATCCGTCACATGGGGCCAATGTTCAGGTGCAGAGAATGGTGAAGGGATGGGATGGTGGCTTCCATGACTGGGTGAATCTGACAGCTTCTTCGTCTTTGAACTTGCTCTGTAAGCTGGGCACGGTCACCCCCACATAAAAAATGTTCAGTAAATACGTTCACATAAAAAAATGTTCAGTAAATACGTTTTGAAGGGTTGAAATATATGCCAATTAACAGTGCTTTGGTGGGCTCATAATACTTTGAAAATTCCCTTCCAATAGACTTTTATGATCCCACAGATTGTCCCTTTTTCTCTTAAGGGAGTTTGTCAAAAATAAGAACCACTTCTAATGCCTGCAATTTTTTCCTATAGTGGTTTCTCTGAATTAAAGAATGCCTTCTACCAAAAAATCCCTTTTACATCATAATTCAGAGAGCATCTAAATGGAAAATCCTCCTTTGCCCCCAATCTATGGGTAGTACTTTTAGTACTGCATTTAGTAGGCAATAGAACTGCTTTAAGCAAAGCTCCAAACTTATTTGTGCTTTTCTGTGTATTAGAAATATTTGAGGAAAGATATTTGTTTCTGAAGCAATTACAGATTCATAGGAGTTGCAAAGGAAATGTACAGGGAGTCCCAGTGAACCCTTCATAAGGAAATATATTTTAAAATTATCTAGGAATTAATTCCCTATTGCTAAAGAACACACACACACACACACACACACACACGTATGTATATATGAATACAAGAGACTGGGTGAAGCAGGGATATGAGATATTAAAGCAGAAAATAGCAATATTGACATGTTAATGACTCATTAGCTTTTCCCAAGAGTAACTAAGTGTTGCTATGTTTCCAAAGGTGTCCGGTTTGGACCAAAGTCAGTGACAAAATCCTCACAAGTATGTGGAAACTGAGACAGTAAACATATTTCTCTGGTATTTAATTAACTCTACAGAACATAAGGCAAGTAAAATCCATCTCTAAAGGAAAAGCAACAATCACAGCTATTAGCATCGTTCAAACGCACACACACATGCCTGCGTGCTTGCCTGCACACACCACATACACACACAAGCAAAATGAATAGTTGGCTGGTTTTAAATCTGAAATACATTTCACTTTTCCTGCATATCACATTTTGAAACATCTTGGACTTTTCATTGGCTCAACATTATTGAAGAGACTGATAAGACTTTTGGCAAAACTCCTTTGAAACATACAACTAATTCTGATACCTGATTTTTTGCAGCCAATCTTCTCTTTACCCTGGGGAGCTCTTCTCTTTACCCCTATTTTAATCCTCACAGTAGTTTTCAGTTCTTTCTCCTCTATACCACTGACAAAGTGACTACATATTCCAGACCATGTGAAGTGGCCATACTTGGTATTTTCTAGGCCAATGACACAGTTTTACCAGACATTTGTTTAACATGTTACAGGTTCAAATGCTTTTCACATACATTATCTTATTTCACTAGCCAACCACCCTGCATAGTCAGTATTATTTCTCTATTCAACTTCATAGAAAGTTGAGCTTAGGGATGATGAAAAGATTTTCCTTAAATCAAATAACTAGTTAGGAGCAAGGTCTGGATAAAGATCCTGGTTTTATACTTCTAAATCCCATGATCCTTCTCTGCTACCATAGCTGTTGTAACCAGAATATCCTCAAATTCTCAAGCTTTCTGAGACTACCTTCAGTGAATATTCCAGTAAAATGACTGGATGCCCCACATCTCCTACTCTGGCCACCTCAGCATACCTAAATATCCCCAAAATTGATTGTGATTGGTGCTTTCCCTTGGGGTTCTCACTGCAATGTTGTTTTTTTTTCTTTATCCCCCCCCCAAAACTTCAATTTCTTGTTTCTACTGCCTTTTGAATCTCTACTTTGCATTGGGTCTCTTCAACTCAAAGTCTTCTTTCTGTAGGTTTGGACGGTAACCAAGCCTCACCAATGGGTTTGGTGAGTGGATTTGACAGGTGCCTCTTTCCAGGCTTGACTAGTTGGTTCTCATATGTGTCGTCCCTATCCCTTTCCTCCTTGCCAGGGGCTGGAATGGCCACAGTAAGGACCACATTGGAAGGCACCTCTTGAGGATGAAGACATGGCCTCAGCGTGGATTCATGAATAATTGAGTGGAGGAGGCCATGCTGTGAACTGATACCCCGCCGGATCATCATGTAAGCGAGAAATAGACTTTTTATTTATTAATAGACTTTTAATAGACCTTTTGATTTATTTCTGAAATCACTGACTCTTGCCTTATCTTACCTAGTTAACTCTTCCTAACCAAACATACTCATTAAAGAGGCTCCCTAACTGAAGGTAAATTCTCTTGCTAACAGAAGTTCTATCTTTACCTTAGCCCAAAGAGCTTTTTGGGTATTAGGTTGCTTTTCCATTACACTATGTAAGATGGTAGAGAATGCTGCAAAAAGTACAGTCCCTGAGAGGAGGCAGACTTTTGGGGTCAAGTGCAGATTACATACATTTAGCTGTGTGACATTGGATAAGTAGACTAATCTCTGAGCCACAATTCCATTATCACAAAAGTGGGGTATTTGGGGAGAAGTAAATATGATAATGGTGTTCAATTTTATATCACAGGTTTCCTGAATATATCTGGCACATGGTGTACAGTCAATAAATATTAGTAATAGTTATTATTGCTCATGGAGTGCTTGTTTTAAGCTTTCCCATGGCTAAAAAAATATATATGGTGGATAGGGTGCCTGGGTGGCTCAATTGGTTAAGCCTCTGACTTTAGCTCAGGTCATGATCTCACAGTTTGTGGGTTCAAGCCCCATGTTGGGTTCTGTGCTGACAGCTTAGAGCCTGGAGCCTGCTTTGGATTTTGTGTCTCCCTCTTTTTGCCCCTCCCCTGCTCGTGCATTCTCTCTCTCAAAAATAAATAAATGTTAAAAATTATATATATATATATATATATATATATATATATATATATATATTTGGACCCAAATATATATATATAATGTTCCAAGAGGAACAGACATCTGCTCCTCAGAGATCTCAGCCCAAGTAGGAGAAACGTGGACATTTAACTGACCCTGCTTGTTTTCTCCCAGATTATGGTCTCTCTGTTTTTACCAGCCCGGGCTCCTTTCTAGTTTGTTTTTGCACAATGGTATATCCAGTCCTTTACTATTCCAGTAAAGTTCATTTCCAGCTCTGATACCTTGTCCATGATAAGCATTCACAGGTTTTCATTCATCTTACATCTGGTACACCTTTGTGGTAACCGATAGCTCCTCTGGCTTATGAGAGCCTTCTTCTTCCAGCCTCCAAACACCTAGATAACACTTTGAGTGGGGAGGGAAATAATTCGTTAAAAGATGACACAAATTTAAAAGTTAATACATGAACCCAATAAGGCCATAATTCAATTCCCTAAAAGCTTATTTTCCTTAAAACATGTTTAAAATACATATTCCATATTTTATAGTAATTACATAGTTTTCTTAAAAATATTGCTATTAAACTATAACCATGGTTCACCTCACCACTCATTGTTAATATTTTGATCTAATTACTTCTATTCTCTTTTCAAACATATGCAGGCTCGAACGTGTGCAAATGTAGACCCTTGTTTGGTTTGTTTGCTTGTTTTTTGTCTTTGCTTCTGTTATTTTCCAAATTTGAGTTCATACTATTCAGTTTCATATTTTTCTTTTTTGGTTGAACATCTAATAGAGTGAACATTTTTGTACCCAAGAGTCATTTATCGGGCCAATTTACATTTCTACTGTGATGGTGCAGTAGTCATTTAGTTTGGGGCTTAGAGTCAAGAGAAAATTTTGAGTTCTTAAGCTTTCTTTTGTGGAAACTCTTCAGCAGCTTTTGTGAGAATTACTGTTTGGGTCCAAATTCTCTCGGTTCTTATCACCTGGCCTTCACTTATTTTATGGTTAGCAGAGCTGTTAGCGGGTGGGCAATCCATGCCATTCCCTGGCACTTACCTTCATGAGTATTTACTGGAGTGGACATGGGGAGTGCTGTAGTTCATTATCAGTAGGAGACTGATCTTTAATTTTACCTCCAATGCTCACACAGAACACAAACAACCCTTATATCCACACTTGGAATTACCTTGTACTTTTCTCTCTGATGTCATGATTAAGACGTATGTCTTAATACCAACAATACTAACATATACAGAAGTTAACATTATTGAGAAAGGAAACTGGTGATGACTTCTCATAATCTGGTGGTTTAGGTATTCTCTGGAGAGATGGAGCACAGACCAGACCCTGGAAATTTCCATAGACTGGAAGTCATGAAACATTGAAGATTTTAGGCTGACTGTAAACATACATTATCTTATGGAAAATGAGATGGTAAACTATTGCGCTGTGCCTAACAGATGGAGGCAAGGGTAGGAAAGCAAGGGTTTTTATGGTTTTAACCTAGGGTTTTACCTTTTGTGTCTGCCTCCATCAAACCTGCCAAGCACACTTAGTAGATTCATAGTGCTGAACTGGCAAGCAAGTTTGAAGGCGGGGGTGGAGAAGGCCGAGATGAAAACCAAGGGATTCCATTAGAAATTGCCTCTGCTCCCTCATTAATCTTTTACGGCAAATAATACATGCAGAACTCAGGCTACTGAGGTCTCCAAAGAATATCATTTTTTGTGAGCTTATAACAAATTAAAGAAATAAATTAAGTCACTAGCCCAGCAGGGAAGTGCTTGAAATCCTGGGCTCTGTCGTCTTTACTGCCGTCCTGAAATTAAAGTAACAAAGAGGGTTTTTTTTGAAATACGTATATTTCAAATATATACTATATATATTATATACAGGTAAATTGCTAATGTAGTTTCCACTTTGTTTTGTTATTAGCCTTAGCATATTCCAAAAGTCCCTCTGTGTGCTAGTCTCAAAACTTGTACCTGCTACTCATTAATTCCAAATAGAAGTGTAGAATGGACTAGGACCAAAAACATGGTATTCTTTTATAGAGGAGTAGAGAAGTGGACATTGTCTCTTTGGCTTTGTGGATTTACACGCATAAGATATGTGCTTGTTCATACAAAGACTGTCTGGTTTCCAACATGAGAGAGATGGGCATAACAGAGTTGAGTTTGGGGCACTGAGTGCAAGAAGGTGAGCTGTTCCAATGGAGAGGATGCTGTGTCTGTTGGCGTGCATGCCACAACATGGCACCACATTTGACCTGCTGTGTGGTTCACTTAGCTCCCTTGCAGTGCCCCGTGAGGTGCCCCTTTCTTACTGATGAAGATCGAGGGCATATCGACACCACTCTCTTCAAATAAGAAGAAATAAAGAATGCTATAGACTGTATCATCTTTCTTCTACTTAATCATTATTAACCACATGATCATCTAAGCCTTTATAATCCCTGTTACTGATCTATTTCAACTAGAACAAATAATAGTGTAGTGGAAGTATCAAATGTAAAAAACACTAGTCTTCTGATCCTGCTCTGGAGAGAAATAAAATGGGCACTGACAACTGGCCATATATCAAACTGCACGCATTTTTATAATGTTATAGGATGTTGGAGTCAGGAATAGAGATCAAGTCCAGCTCTTGTTCTCATAAAAGGAGGAAGGAGCAGACCCATGTATGTACAGGGACTAAACTTCGCTTTCTGATTTGCAGTTCAGTCAAGTGACCTTTCCTCTACAGCAGGTGGCTTTCCTCTGGTATACACACACACACACACACACACACACACGCATGCATGCATGGCACACACTTGTGCATATACAAATCTCAGCCTCTCCCCCATTATGTCCTAAAACACTGTTTCTAAAATCTCCACCTGCTGTCTAATTTCAGAGAATATAGCATGGAAGACATGAGTACATTGTGGTAAGAAGCTTCTTAGTTAGTCCTAAGAGAAAAGTTTTAGGCAGCAAAAGCCAGAAAACATAGCAAAGATTTATGAAGGGAAAGCACGTGCTCTCCTTCCTACGTGTGCCGATGTTGGTATGCTGGTCTGCGTAATTTTCAGCTGTGGACAAAGATTAACCCATGGGATGTCTTTGAATTTCAAATGCTTCCACATTCAGAAATGCTCCCGTGTACCCTTAAGTCATCATAATCTAAAATACAGTATGTGGCACAAGTTTCAAATCAAGCACTCTTCGCTTCACAGAACAGATGTAGTCTCTGAGCCTTATTACCTAAAGTGCCTGAGTGCATCATTTTCTTCTGAAATTAACACAGGCAACTGTCACAGATTGGATAGCAGTTGGGGAGGCACTGGAGAAAGAGACTGGAGGAGAGGAGATACCGTTATTCTCTGAACTTGGCTTTTACAAAATGTTCCTTGTCAACTAACCTCATTTTTCTTCTGTAAAATGAAAGGGCTGGAGTCCATGAAATATAACATTAAAAGTATATATGATGTGGACATCATCGATGTACATCTAATTTGTCTTATTGTGATATAAGACACCTGATGACACTTGCCCATTCCTTCATGCTACATCTTTTTTTTTAATTTTTTAATGTTTTATTTATTTCTGAGAGAGAGGGAGAGACAGTGTGAGCAGGGGAGGGTCAGAGAGAGAGGGAGACACAGAATCTGAAGCAGGCTCCAGACTCTGAGCTGTCAGCACAGAGCCCGACACGGGGCTCTAACCCATGAACCGTGAGATCATGACCTGAGCCAAAGTCAGATGTTTAACCGACTGAGCCACCCAGGAGCCCCTCCCTCATCCTGTATCTTAACCATATATAGGGACACTCTAAAGGCTCTACTGACCAGCTCTCCTGCAATTACAGTCCAGAAAAATGAAAGTGGTGAGTAGATTCACCATGTACCATAAAGCAAATAAAGACAATATGATGTCTTTAGAGTGTAAGTTTCAGAATCAGGGGGGAAGAAAACCCTAGGTTTGAATCTACTCTGTTCCTTATTAATTATTGATACTTAGTCAAATCACTTCATCATCTGCCCCAGTTGACTCAGCTGTAAAATGGGGATAATGATAAATGTAAGGATTAAATCAGATAACGCATGGTAGGTGCCAAACATAAAGTAGCTGTTAGTAAACGTTCAGAGGCTAACCAAGGACGCTCAGCACTAGAATCATCTGAATGCCAGGACTATTCAGCTTGGAGAAGTGGTGGAGGCAGAATTGCTCCCAGTGGTTTTAGTCTCTTTAACATTTAAGAGGAAAGACCAGTTGCTTGGCCTGCAATAATCTTCATTTCAGCAACTTTCATCCTGAATAATATTTTCTCAGCCAGACAACAGTAAACACCTACAAGCCCATGTTGTCAGGGGCAGAGCCCCAAATGGGTACTTGGGGTCATACAAATCAGGTTAGGTAGTGCTAGTTATTATGAAGTACTTCCCTGTGTTGAACAAAATATTTATCTCCATATAAATGTTATCCATCTACTTAGCGTCTCTCTGAAAAAACTCGCTCAACAACAGAGGCCAAGATCAATAGAAATGCTTAACACAGGTGAGTAATCCTATCTGCAACACTGGTCAGGTTAGCCTTGGTCAGTGGTAGCAAATTCAGGGAAACACAATTCTTATACCATATTTGTCTCCCTCATCTTTAAGTTCAGTTTGCTTCAGGTGTGGCCAGTGCCATCAGTGTTTTCCTGTGAGCCAGTGCTCAATTGCAGAAATCATCCACTTCTCATGCCTTACCTAGTATCCCTAAAAGTTGCCCACAACAAATGAAATCCAACTAGAAGTGGCTCAATACAGACATTAATTTTCACACAGAATAAGCAGTCTGGAGGTAGGCACTCCACTATACCATGTTCAGTGTGCTGGATCTTCATGACATCTTCATGTGATGGACACGTATCCAGGAAGCAGTGCCTATCTGTTGTCATATCTGTACTCTTATTAAGTCAGCAAATTGTTCCCAGGAGTCCCTAGAGATAGTCTCATACAGCTGATGGACTGAGAAATGTATTGCCTGCCATATTTCAGGCAAAGAGGCATGATGAATTTATACTTAAAATCTTCAACATCAATAAGAGAGGTTAAGAATGCATTTGGACTGAGTGTTGAGTCAGTGAGTGAGCACCATCTGCCACTCATCTCGAAGAGTTTCTCTGATCCCACAGTTGTTTAAGTACACTGTCCTTCATCGGAACTCACATACTGCTTACGGTCCGTATGGATAAGGTCTCGGTTTGTTGGCTGTATTTGTATATGGTTCTTTTGTGATTATATATCTGGGACATCTCTTCAGGAGCAGGCAATAGGTTTTCAAATATCTTAACATTGCATAAAATCGCAAAATTTCCCAAGAGCTTCTAGCCACAAGCCATTTTTTGGTCTTCTGCAGGGCACAGATTTTTAGTTCTGTTTTATGGAGAATTTGAGATTCAAAGAGATTATGTGATTTACCGAGTTGAGCATGATTTATTCAAGACTAGAACTCATGCATTTTGATTGTTAAACCAGTGCTTCCTCAACAATTCTATGTTATAAATGATATATATTTATATAGATATGTATGTATGTATTCACACAGACCTAGTAAAGCTAAATACACTTACAATGCTGTTGCATAAAATTAGAAATCAAATAGTAGTAGTCTTATCTAAAAAGTTCCTGTAATCTGTGGATAATGTGTATCATAACTGTGTAAGTTATTATCCAAACTTTGTCACTTTTAAGAATGAGTTAATAATTTCTGAAGAATAATAGAGTGAACTGGAACTTTCTTTGACAAAAAAATAACTTCTTTCTCTTTTTTTGAGATAATCTTATTTTTTATCTTTATGTGCTTATTTATTTATTTGTAAGTAAGCTCCATGCCCAGTGCCAAGCCCAATGTGAGGCTTGATTTTCCAACCCTGAGATCAAGACCTGAGCTGAGATCAAGAGTCAGATGTGTAACCAACTGAGCCACCCAGGCGCCTTGGGAAAAAGTAACTGCTAGTCACCCGGGTAATGGGTGATTGGGGTGTGATAGAGCTTGGAATTTATTAGGAAAGAAGAGACTGGAGTGAAAAGGTACTGCGTATACTCAGAGTCATCAGATTAATTTTTTTCTGAGCACAAAGAGAAGCTTAAATAAAAGGGTAAGAATTAGGAATATTAAAACACAGTATTGATATTAAATACTTCATAGCCAAACAAGAAAATATTAATATTCCTATGAAATGCCTCTCTGACAGCAAAGAACATATGAGCTTCACTTTTACTAAACTACTACTTTTCTATTTTCTTTGCAATAAGAAATTAAAGCATCCAAGATGGCGCAAAATGTAGGGCTTTGAGGGAATGGTGAGGAGAGCACCCTTTGAAGGGGAAGGTTTTCCTTACAAGCCTGATCTTTCTCTTCGCTACTTTATTCACTCCATGCTGTCTGTCACCTATTTTCAACAAAAAACGGTGGTGTGTACCATGTTCCAAATATTATGAAAGTATTGGGGCTTTAAAGGTCACTCAGGCCGCTCACCATCTAAGTGAAGGGGACAATAAATGGACAATAAGGATTGACAAGTGCTATAGGTAGAGTTCACCGTGATATGCTCAGGGAGTATAGAAGATGACTTGAAGAACTGGTACAGAATTGCTAGGGGAAAATAATAATTTTTAACAGCCCTAATAAAGAGTCTGAGTCCATGTTTTTTGATGTGTGACTTCTGACAGCCTTTAAGCCAAACCTCTCTTTCATCCCCTTCTGCCTCACATCTGGGAAAGCTGATAAGAAATCCCAGATGCTCCCTTCTTTGGTACCTGTGGGAGTTTCAAACCATGCAAAGCCTTACCCATGAAAGAGTTCCTTCACCCCAGTCCCTCCACCTAACTACAATAAAAACCCCAACCTCCTTTCTGTGTTCTCCAAGCACTTTCAGACCAACTTGGGAAGCCTGCCTACTATCTCCAGAAAACCACGCCACATGAATAACAAACCTTTCCATACTTTCTGGGTACGTGTGGCATCATTAGTCTTGACATCTGACCTAGATTTTGGATGGGGGTTCATTTCTGTCTTCACAGTGGCCACAACAGCAGCTTTACCGAGGCATAATTCACATACTCTGAAATTCTCGTTAAGGGTATAATTCATGATTTTTAGTAAATTGACAGAGTTACACAATAATCACCAAAATAAATTTTAGAATGCTTTCATTGCCCAAAATGATTTTTGTATTAGTTTGCCACCAGTCCCTTCTCCCATTTCAGCCCCAGGCAATCACTAGTCTGCTGTCTTTATAGACTTGCTTTTTCTGGACATTCCATAAGAATGAATCCACATAAATGTACTATCTACATAGATACAGATAGATATAATTCCTTTTTATTTAAAAGATTTAAAATCAATTGTTCTAAAGCAACAGTGCCAGAGAGCTGGCCTAAAAATAGTTTTCATGTGTTTGAGGTATTCCAGTGTATCTCAGTGGAAGAAAAAAATCATTTTTCACCTTTTCCAAAGACAGCGGAAAAATTAGAAAGAGCTACAGCAGTAGTGTATATATTGAATTTAAGACAAGGTCTCCTGACCCTTCTCAAATAATAAATCCAAATATCTAGGTGAATCTCCTTCCCTAAAGATCCTTAAGAATAACGCAGATAGCTGGCTCGCTGTTTTAAGTAAATGGCTGGAGCAGTATTGCTTCTAAGTCACTATGTTCCCTTATATCTTATTTTATTACACACAATATAATATAATATTATATCTATTTATTTGGGGAAAGGGGTGAATACAGCGTCCAATCGTTTTTCTTTCTGATTACGCTTTTTTCCCATATAATGAGCAAAGATTATCAGACTATGTATCATATACTTCAACTGGCTTTGACTAACCAGTGGTCTTATTTTGTTCACCTGTAAGAGTTAAATAATGGTTTCTAAATTTCTTTGTAGCTGCAAATGTGAAGCCTTCTATACCACAGACACACGATTGTATTGGGTTGTTTTTGTCTTAAAATGATGCAAAGTTCTTCCAGTAATGCTGGGTTAGGAAATTTTGACCAACTTTTCTGCTAAAACCAATTTAAAAACCTGGACAAAGTAAAAATTACATCTTACTGATGCATGAGAAAGCAAACAAGAAAGTGAGGAATTACAGAGCCAAAATTAAAGAGAATGAATGCCAAGGAAGAAAGCCTTGTCTTCAGAGATCCTTTTCCCCTAAAGTCATCTACCTATTTCAAAATTAGTGGCAGATAGTCTAAGAAGCTTAATTACATTTTTGACAGACTTACAAGTCTGGAAAAACAAAAACAAAGTCACAAGCCTGTTAAGAAATGAGGCTCGACCCAAAAATCAAAGGTACAGACCGGGAAGGCTTTATGGCATCTATAGCTCGAGCTCATCAGGGAAACACTACTAACAGAGACGAATTAAGCTGCCTCCCCTAAACGTTCGCGAGGTCCTACTTACATAGAGAAAGTTTCATCATCCTGATTGGTTGGAAGGGACTGGTCCTGATTGGTGGATATTGGCAGGCCACTCAGGCAGCCCATTGGTGCTTTTTGGAGCCAGAGTCCTCTGGTTTAAGTTCAGCTCCTACGTGGGGCCAGTTCTGGCCGCATCCTGGTTCTGCTCTGTAGGAAGAGAGGTTTAACAGTAGCAGTCAAGAGAATGCACCAAAAGTGCACAGTGTCTTCCACCTGGGGCTAGACCCATGGTCCCCAACTGCCTGGGTCCCTCCAAGGAAAGCAGATCGTTGAAAACAAATATTCCTGACTGCCTGACAAAAAGCAAATGTAAATTCCTTGTAAAAGAAGATGTAATTCTAGGTTACAAATTACCCGCATATTGTATAAAAATACAGTGCGCTGCGTTCTACTTAAAGCAACCAGGGATGCAAAAGGATGCCAGAAAACTTGATTGAAGCCTGAATATCAAGAGAAACAACAGAAAGTAGAAAAAGTCCTAGAGGGCATCCAGATAGTGGAGTGTTTAGACAAGGATTTTAAGATATCTACACTTCACGTATTCTAGGTTCAGATTGAGGCTTTAAGCACAACACTGGAAAATATTTGAAAAAACTAAAGAATTGAATGAAAATTCAATTTTGAAAACAATAATATATTTTCTGTAGATAGATTGAAGGAAGAAAGAAAGAGACAAAAATGGAAAATATGACCAAAAATAGACAAATTGAAGTGAGAAAGGAATGTAGTTGGGGTGTAATAAAAAGGGGAAACAGGAAAAGGGCTTATATACACAGAATTGCAGCACTAGGGGAGAAGAGGGGGTGGTAGACGCAATATTACAAGGGACAATTGCTGAGAATTTTCCAAAGCCAGTAAAAATATCAAGCCCCGTATTTTCAAAGATGTATAAACTTCAGTAATATAAAGGAAACCACACCTAGGGCATCATGACAAAAATGACAGAAACCAAATCATAGAGGAAGATTTAAGTGCAGACAGAGGAGAAAAATGTGTCTTCACCAAAGCAGGAATTATGCTGCCAGTTGTCTTCTCTAAATAATTCACAGAAGCTGGAATACAATGGAATTAGAGCATTAAACTAACAAGGGGGAGGATAAAAACTTTCAACCTAAAATTCCATAATCAGTGAAAATATCTTTCAGGACTCGAAGTAGTAATGAAGACACTGGCTTCATTCAAGTCTTCTTAAAATGGTAAGAACTTTTCACTCAAAGATGTAAATTAGTGGAAATGATAAAGAACACTTTTTAGGAAGAAAGAAAATGATCCTAGAAAAAGCTCAGGGCCGTGGAAAGGAATGGGCTCACCATGGAAAGCAGTATAGAGGTTCCTTAAAAAATAAAAAAAAGAGAACTACCATATCTCCTACATATATCCACATCTGGGTACATATCCTATGTGCCCTGCAGTGTTATTCATACCAACCAAGGTGTGGAAACAACTTCAATGACCATTGGCAGAGGGATGCGTACAGAAAATGTGAGTTAAACATTCAATGGAATGCCGTTCAGCCTAAAGAGGAAAAGAAAGAAAGAAGTTCAGCAACATGGATGGATCTTGAGGTGATTATGTTAAGTGGAATAATCCAGACACAGAAAGATAAATACTTCATGACTCTACTTACGTGAGCTAGCTAAAATAGTCAATTCATAAAACCAAAGACTGCAGTAGTGGTTACTGGGGTCCCGGCGGGGAAGGGGGAGAGGGAAATGAGGAGTGATTCATTGATAGACAACATTTCAGTTAAGTAAGATAAATAAGCTCTAGAGGCTGTTGTACAACATGGTATCTATAGTGAAGATAATGTATTTATTGTACACTTAAAATTTGTTTAGAGGATGGCCTTGCGGTAAGCATCTTATCACAATAAAATTTTTAAAAAATTAAGGACATAAAATACATGCCCGTAAGTATAAATAAACAAACAGTAGACAAATCGTAAGGAATAAATAAATAAGAAGGAATAAAGAGCAACAGAAAGAATAAATATGCACATAATTCTAGATTAATATTGACTATATAAGACCCTAAAGTAATGTCTTACAGAATTTTTAAAAATATATAAAATTAAAATACATAATAACAATATTATACAAGAATGGAGGTGGGGTAAACGGAATTAAAATGTTCCTAGGATTTTGAATCGTTGGAAAGAGTCAAAAAGTAAAGATTTATTTTAGGCATCTCTAAGGCAAGGAAGCATTTTGTAATCTCCAGGAAATAATATGTTAACTCAGAAATGTGCTAAGTATATTTCAGTAAAAATGTTTCTCTTCATCTACTCGCCTTGTGCCTATTTTAAGTTTTGATATGTTTCTTCATGTGTTTATGTTACATGTGAAGAACGAAAAAAAAAATGACCTTTCAAGAAAAACTAAAAATCATGCGAAAGCTCACATTCAACTTCGTATGCATCTGTTAGGAAAAGCAAATCACCTGAAGGTGACTTTAAAGTGAAAGAAAACACCTTGGTTTAAGGTTGGAAGCTTTGGAAAAAGCACAGCCATTTTTAATCCGTGGTTGGCCAAAAAGTCTAAGGCATAAATCCAATTACTGTGTTCCTAAAGTAGCACATATGAACAGCTCTGTTAACAGGCCAACTTGCTCGAAGGGTTGTGAATCATTTCCCAAGTTTGGGTATTATTACTCACCTTGGAGGAAAGGCAGGTACAGAAGAGATAATTGGAAAAGAAAGGGAGCAGGTGAGTTGGCCTAGTTTAAACCTGTTCTGTGACCCCGCTGGAATTTGAGGTTCTGGAAGGTGAGAATCAGTATCTACCTACATTTTCCATACCCGAAAAGAGCTAGCTGTTGTGTTGAGGGGGCGATGCTGTCAGGGGTTAGAACCTTCGTCTGCTACTTACTAGCTGTGTGACCTTGGGTGATTCCTTTTGTGACGCTAACAGCTTTCTGTTCTGTAATATAAACAAAGCGGTTTAACCTTAAGCAACTGAGGTGTAAGAGCTAGGAAAATGTTTCTGAAAGTGTTTTGCTAAGAGAAAAGCATAGACAAGTATAAGATGTTATTTGCATTTCAAAATATCAATCACGCAATCGAGGTAAGTAGCATTTATCGATGCTTATAAAGCAATGGGCAGATTTCTAGTTAAGTATGAAAACCAAACGAAGGCTCTGTACATTTGGGTTAAAAGGAGGTGTTTAACCAGTTACAAGAAAGAGAAATTCAGATTTACACAGTGAATAGGACGTAGTAAGAATTTTCATTTTGTCACTGATAATATGGAAACTGCTTGTCAAGTTCTAAACGTACTTTCCTGTCATTAAGTAGACTTTTAGATTTGGTGCCTTTTGTAACCCCGTTTCTTGTAATAAGTACACAGAACCACAATGTTATTAGCATGATCATATTGTATCTCATCTGTTAAATAGCTTAATCTGGAACTTTCTTTATAAGCAAAACATGTATTATTCCAGGAAAAAGAAATTAAATAATATGCATTTGGATGATTTGGGGCTTCATGTTTAAAAGTCATCACTATGTTATTTTGGGATGATGGATAATAAACGTTTCCTCCCCAATTCTAAATAAACAAAGGGAATGTTCTGTTGGGCAGTGTTAATTGTGGATCCTCTGGGAAAATGTAGAGGTGGAGAGTTTTGAGCTAGTGATGATGCAGGAGTTTCCAAAAGACCCTTCATTTCAGTCTCCGGAGTTGTATGTATAGAAGTGAGAAAATATAGAGGCGCCTCGGTGGATCAGTTGGTTAAGTGTCCGACTTCGGCCCAGGTCATGATCTCGCCATTCATGGGTTTGAACTCCACAAACAGAGCCTGGTGCTGACAGCTCAGAGCCTGGAGCCTGCTTCTGATTCTGTGTCTGCCCCTGCCCCAATAATGTTCTATCTGTCTGTCTCTCTCTCTCTCTTTCTCTCTCTCTCAAAAATGACTAAACATTAAGAAAAAAAAATTTAAGTGAGAAAATATAACAGTTCTTGATGTTCATATCTAATGTGATTTTATTTAGAGAAGCAGATTTTGTTAGCTGGGAATAAGGGGAAAGACCAGGATGACAGGAATGCCCGACAACTTCACTGACTATTGTTACAGTTCAGAATGTCAATAATTCTAATGCCAGCGCCCATAAAAACAATGTAGCAATTATTATTGAGAAATGTATAGACTTGATGGGGTATTTTTCTCATTAATGCCACAGAGAAATTTGCATTAAGTTGAACAGTTTGTGATACCAAGTTATATCCTTAGATCACAATAATATATTGATATTCATTAAGTAAATAGCCTAATTATATTTTCTGGATAGAAATTTCAAGCGCTACATGAGACCCACAGAACATAGAGAGTTTATGAACTAGGAAGATCAATAATATTGACAATAACCAAGAAATAACTACTACAGGGTCACCTGAGTGGCTCAGTCTGTTGGCTCGGGTCATAATCTCATGGTTCGTGAGTTTGAGCCCCATGTTGGGCTCTCTGCTGTCAGTACAGAGCCTGCTTCAGATGCTCTGTCCCCCTCTCTACTCTTCCCTTGCTCTCGTTCTTTTACTCAAAAATGAACAAACATTTTTTTTTAAAAGTAACCACTACAGCTTCTTAGGACATCTAAAATATTGCTAAGCTTATAAAAAATGACGCTCTCAGCTTGAATACTTCTCACTCTCCATGCAGGTTCCCCCTGACTCAGCCCTTGCTTCTTTTCCCCATAATTTCTCCTTCTCCACCTCCCCTTCCACGGAGCATTTGCACCTGCTCTCCCTTCAGCCGTTCCCCCAAATCCTACCCGTCCTCCTCCCACTGCTTTTTAGGACAAAACATTTATATTCTGAATCCGATAAGAATGATGGTCAGTGGATATCACAGAACTCTCTGGATCTCTTACAAATTCTTACCCTCTGATTAACTCACCTAATTAATGCCAACATTTCATTTGGCTTTGTGTAGACCCAGCTACAGGAAACTTAACAAAAACTTTTTTTTTAAATCTTCCCTCCATCCCTTTTTCCGTCTTTTCTTCCTTCTTTCTTCCCACTCTCCCTTCTTGTCTGCCTGGTCTGAAATTTGACGGAGTGATACTTCAGCGTCTGCTAGTTCTCATTCTTGGCCCTTCCCAAAAGGTCTCTTTTTTTGAGTTTTACTCCCTCCTGGGGCTCTGGGTGAGTATTAAAAGTCCCGAAAGTGTCTTCAAAGGAGAACATAGAGTTCTAACAGTCAGCAGATACTTCTAGTGACATAGCTGTTTATCTTCATGGAAAGTGGAGGGCTGACTTCCATCATATGTATTCACCTCAACGTGCCAGACAGGGGGTGTGAGCCAGAGAGAGGGTAATGACACCCCAGGCTTTCAAAATTCTGTAAAGTCTTTTAACCTTTCCTGAATGGGTCCAACTTGCAAAGTGTAACAAGAGAGGGTATACACCAAAGTCTCTAAAGTATAGAAAGACACATGCAATCGCTCAGGCTCCTGGAGGTTTCTTTCAAGTGGATTTACTACAATAAGACAAAATATCTAACAGTATCCACACATAAATAGTTAATAATTTTCAAAAAAGTTGCCTTAAAAATACTGTCTGAAATGATGTGGAAGACATAGATCTGGGGGCACCTGGGTGGCTTAGTCGGTTAAGTGTCCGACTTTCGGTTAGGTCATGATCTCGTGGTTGGTGGGTTTGAGCCCTGTGTCGGGCTCTGTGCTGACAGCCAGCTCAGAGCCTGGAGCCTGTTTCTGAGTCTGTGACTCCCTCTCTCTCTGACCCTCCCTTGCTCATGCTGTCTCTTTCTCTCTCCTAGAAATAAATAAAACATTTTAAAAATTTAAAAAAAAAAGACAGATCTGGCTAAGCTAATTAGGTCACTTAATGCATTTGGTTGCAGAAAAAAAATTTTTTAATTTTCTGATTTCTGGATTTTTTTCTGTTTTTATTTTGTGAGAAAAAAGAGAAAATCTGGTTGTCTTACTCAAATCCTCAAGAAAATGGAAGTAAGATCAGCTATTTCTGGAACAGAGAAAATAGAATTACCACCACAGCCAGTAAGGTATTCTAGCCAGCCCCCTCTAGATGTTCCCTTATGGTACATATGCAAATCAGTTAACTTGATGGGGCTCAGTTTCAACATTTTTAAGAGAAGGAAAGAAGAGAAGAAAGAGGGATTGAAAAATGAATGCAAGGAGGAAGTGAGAAAGAGAAATTGTGTTAATGCATGGATTAGTAAACAATTTGAAAAAGGGAATGTATAGAGTGCTCTTGTTCACACCTAAGTGATCAAGTTTTAGTTGTTATATCATTGGTAAAAATTTTAATAGAATGCACAAAGCACTCAATTTACCTTTATAGCTCTTAGTGTATTTTGTTTGAGTAAAAGATATTGGGGGATAGTCCATGGATAAGAAAGCCAGAACATTGCAGTATCAGTACCAAGGACTTCTAAGAGGAGGTGATAGTTCATTATAATTGACTCTAAGAGAGTAGAACTGAGGATGAAGAAAGCCGTTTACCCAGAAAGGACAAATTGATACTGGAATATTGCTTCAGAACTACCCTCCATAACTGCTCCCTGATTTATGTGCATTGGCATTTGTGAATATGTTACTTCTGTTGTATAGATTCTTGGTGGAGGAATTCTTATCTATGTTTTTTCATTTGTAGGCGAACTGTATCTTACTCTCTTAGTCTAATTCATGTCTAACAGCTTTCTCATGACCAGACTAAAGCAAAGCTAATTTTAGCTGAACAAGGATGACAGCCATTTATGGGTTGGCCAGGGGAAAGAGATTGAAAATGACTTCAGGAAGACTGAATGTATCTCCCAACATTTTTTTAACATGAGGAACAGATCTACTACCTAGGTGGTAGTCTGCAAAGAAAAAAAGAACCTCTTTTTCCAGATCTCTGAATTAAGGGATTTATTTAATGGTACAATTTAATGCATAGCTAAAGGTGTCCAAATTTATCTAATAAGTAAAATATCCCCATAGTACTTTCAGTATAAAAGGAAGAAAGTTGGAGCTGGGTTCCAAATCCAGCTCTTTGGTTTAACGACTCAACTACCTATTTCCTTCATCTGTAAAATTACAAAGATAATACCTTCTTCATAGAATTGTGTCAGTGATTAAACTACTGGAATGGCATCATATGTATGGGCTATTAGTCATACAATTACATTACATATAGTAATTCCATTTTGTTTTCTGATACTCAAGCTATTTATTGGATTCTCATTAACCCTCATTTTTGTTAATACCCTCAAACAGATAGCTATGTATCCTAATGGAGTCTCACTAATAGGATGAACTCTATGAAAATATTTCCGCTTAATCTCCAAGGCAAATGACTCTATGTAATGCCAGATTTTGTTCTTAGTGAAAACTATTATCCCAAAGATCTAGTTTATGTTCTACAGCTCACAAAAGAAGACACTCGGGCACATAAAAGTTCCCCAAATTTCTCTTTCTTGGTCCCCTACATAGTGTAATAGACAGGAGTGGAATAAATGTTTGCTGTTATTCAGTCTTTGTCTCCCCATCTGGGTCGGAGGTCCAGTTAGGCCCCAGGGTGTGGCTCCTGGTGGCTCAACCAAGTCCAAGCCACTCCATCAAGACCAAGGTTGAAGTCAGGAAAGTAAGCTTTGGAGGAGGTCTCACTTTCCATTTTGCTACCAGCTTTTTTCCATTCTGGATTTACCCTCTTCTTAGGCTCAAGCTTGGTGGTGATTCATCACCCATTCATTGTCCCAGGCTTGTCATCACAGTGGGGAGTGACATGGAAAAGTAGCCTGAAAAAGAGTGAGGCAGATTCTGATTCCACATGTGCTGTATCGATGTAAGTGATATTACGCTTAAGCGTAACCCCTTGTTTGGGTTTCTCTAGTCAGAAAGAAAAACTAGATTCATTTGTGTTGTTGATGTTTTATTGCATTCTTGACATGATATGATGCCTTGCTCTGTTAAACATTTACGTCATTTGCATTTAAGCTGAAACTTTGAAAGCCTGTCTAGCTAACTGGTTCTAATGAGGAAAGGATGTAGTAATTTCCTAGATGCCTATGGTTATTCTCCTTAATTTATCAGATGTCAGAATAGTATTGTTTTTCTAGACTGAAGGCAACCCAGGATTGCATCAGAATTATCAGAGCAGATTTTTAAATCTCTGAGTAGGAGCTTAGTAGGTCTTAGGTTGGCTTGGGCAGAGGAGTGGTGAGGGGACCTGTGTTACTAAAATATGAATCATTCTGATGCTCACCCAGGGCTCAGAATCTTAATGGCTGGGTTAAGCTGGTTGAGCTTCCTTCTTTCACATCTAAAGAAAACCTTGGTATTTTAGCCTGAGTGTTCTAGAAAGCAGATCCTGAGACAAAGATTTGATGCAAATATTTTCCTGGGAGGCATAAGTCCAGGGCAGTGAAGATGAGACCAAAAGATAAGGAAAGCAAGGTGAGATGGAATGCAGTGTGTCACCACTTTAGAATAAGCCACAGGTCACTAAGTAATCCTACTTAGTAATACCTGTAATAACAGGTATTAACAATCCTGTTAATACCATACACGGGGGGTTCTACAGAAGGTTTACAGGTAGACACTTTACACCAAAATAACCGACAGGATACAGAAAGGATAAGGAAACTTATTTGTCCAGCTCTCTCCTATCTCTCATTTCCAATTGGCCAAGTTTCATCCCATAAGAAACTAACTCTGTGTCTTCTGGGCTGTGTCAGCTGATCCCTCCCCCACTTCTTCAGAAACAGATCCTGAGCCCCACAATGTGGTGTTTTATTAAAATCCAATACTGGAAAGGTGATCTAGCATGAAGGAAGGAGCATTCCTAAACTGATGAGGGAAGGAGGAAGAGAGAGAAGGAATCTGAGAAAGTCTAAGAAGGCTACAAAGATTTGTGTCCCAATATACCTTCATAGCCTATCCCTTGGGGAAAGTTATCAGCCCTGGCTTAAGAATTTGTCCTAATGAAATGCAAAAGCTGGTTCATTTACAGCACATGCATTAAAATCCATGAGAGATTTCCAGGAAGCCCAACTCAAAAGAAAATGGCAATTTCTTGGAAATTTAAACACATACATTTGGTGTTGGGCATTATTAAGAGAGTTTGAATTGGAAGTTAACCAAGAACAATTTCAAGGTCTAAGGTGTCTGCCACAGAGGCAAGAAAAAATTCAGAGAAGTGCTACATTCAAAATAGGGCTGTTCAGGTTCATTTAACTTGTTCATGTACAACGTGAAAGCTGTGTTTGAAATTTGTGCACACATTTATATTGATAGACAGCCGACTTGTACAACACAAGGGTTAGATTAAAAATCAGCATATAACTTTCAACTTCCCCGAAACTTAACTATGAATAGCCTACTTACTGTTGACTAGAAGCCTTACCAATAACCTAAACAGCCAATTAACACATATTTTGTATGCTTTACATATTATATACTGTATTCTTGCAATAATGTAAGCTAGCAGAAAGAAAATGTTATTAATAGAATCATTAGTACAGTACACTTATACTACTGTACTGTATAATTGAAAAAAATCCACATATAAGTGGACCTGCACAGTTTAAATACATGTTATTTAAGGATTGTCTAGCCCTGGGTCATGGATACAACTGGATCTGCAAGATGGACTTATAAACTTCTTATCTCCTACTCTTTTATCTTAAAGAGAAATATTTGACCTTCTCTCTTTCACTTTAGGGTAAGCACATTTATTTCATTTGTGCATAATTTTAACCCCTGTGCTCTTATGATGAGGTCCAATCATCACAGAGGTGAGTCAGCCCTTTCTTCAATGACCCATGAATATTTTATACTTTTTTCTCCCTTCCCTGCTCCCCCATTCAAAAAGAGTGGATGGCTTCAGAATGTGAGTGTCCTGACACTAATAAAATCTTCTACCTTGGCATTGCATGGTGATAGAATTTTATGAATGAGATGTCTATGCTACCACAAGTATGATAGACCACATGCACTGTGCAGGCAATTCAACATCTTCCACAAATTATGTTTTCTCTGGGACACCTGGGTGGCTCAATCAGTTGAGTGTCCAACTTTGACTCAGGTCATGATCTCATGGTTCTGGAGTTTGAGCCCTGATCAGGCTCAGTGTGACAGCTGAGAGCCTGGAGCCTGCTTTGGATTCTGTGTCTCCCTCTCTCTGCCCCTCCCCTGCTCGTGCTCTGTCTCTGTCTCTCTCTTTCTCTCTCTCTCTCTCCCAAATATAAACATTAAAAAAATTATGTTTTATCCATCTTACCTGAATATGCAGCTCATTGCTAGCCATTCTCAAATTATACAGGGAGGAAAAATGATAGCTAAATCTTTGTGACCATCAGAAATATGATTCAAAGTAGGTATCAGAAAATTGTGTTATAATGGCATGAAGATTGGGTAAAATCACATCAAAAGTAGTCCATGATTTGCAAAAGAATGAGACATAAAAGAAGAGAATTCCTCTTCACCCTCTTTGGATATCTGTTTATTTTGTCATTAACAGAGGGCTAAGGTATCATTCTGAATTCTTGCCCTGAGACTTAAGAATTTTAATCTCATACTAGACTCATTGATTTAAATGTATATCATTTATTTTGAGAGAGAGAGAGAGAGAGAAAATATAAACAGAAAAGGGGCAGAGAAAGAGGGAGAGAGAGAATCCCAAAAAGTCTCCACACTCAGCACAGAGGCTCGATCCCATGACCTAAGTCAATATCAAGAGTCAGACCCTTAACGAACTGAGCCCCACAGGTACCCCCTGGACTCACTTTTGTATACATTGTACATCCTTTACTCCATTTAGCTATACATCCTATACTCCATTTAGCTGTCAGATTGAGACTTTTAAAAGGATACATCAGATCTTGATGGCCATATGTCTCACCAATCTAGTGACCCATTACATTTAGGATAAATCCAAAGTGGAAGGTTTACAAGGCCATGTATAGCCTGGACTGTGGCTATCTCATGGATAGGAACCTGTAGCTGCCACCTTCCCACTCTGCTTCTGGCCTCTAGGGTGAGGAATAGAAGACTTTACCTATGGATATTGGTAGAAGCAGATGGTTCTGAGACTTATTTTGGATGCGAAATAGACAGGACCTGCGGATACATTAAGTGTGAGGGTTGAAGTAAATGAGGAATGAAGAATTAGTTTAGGTCATAATGGACACTCTGTGAGTACTGACAAACGTTACTAATAACTGGATAAACTTAGCCCAGGGACATGTGACAGTGATGATCTGGCTTTAGTTTGCGCATCAGGTGCCAAGATTAGGGTCAGAATTCAGTGCTCTGATCTTCCCTGTGAGGCAGCAGCTCCCCAGGTTTTATGGATTCAGGACTCCCTATCTGCGGAGACGCTGCCACTATACAAGCACATGATTTATTTAGCACCTTCAGTGCTTCTTGACATTGCTTACAGGGCCGTGGACAAAGGCATCTCTCAGAGTATTCATTTAAAATTGCACACTAACTTCCTCTCCTGGAGGTAAGACCTGGGAATCTTCACTATAAGAAACTTCTGCAGTCCTCAGAAATTCTAAGCTTGAAAATCACTGCCTTAATAGATTCCTCTGGAATTATGTCCTTTGTTGGGTCTCGTAAACATTGAGCTTGAATTGCCTTTCCTCCACCTGTTTAACAAAGAAACATCTCTCAGATGCCGAAGATAACACACATTTAACTGCAGCCTGCAGGAAGTGAATGAAATCGAATTCTCCTGTGGGAAATGGGTCATTTTTCAGACCTGGTGCGAAGTGTGTGCTTCGGCACCCAGAAGCCTTTCTAGAAGACTATTCCGCCCCAGACAGCTGGCGTATTCATAAGCTGCTGCTTCTGGGGGATAAACGAGGCTCCCAGAAATTGTGTGGCAGGCCACCTCCCTGTCGCCTCTGGAAACGTGAATACCATCTTACCAGCTTTCATTTGTTCTGTCTTTTGGCCAGGCTCTCACAGAGGCACAATGGAAAGCCAGGTCCTGTAGAGGGTTAAGATAAGGCAAAAAAAAAAAAAAAGCAAACATTTCTATCACCTCTGGTCATTTTCCTTTTCCAGATTTCACGAAGGCCAGAAAATATTTCCAGAGTTTCTTTTTCAGCATTTTCAAAGCAAACGCACCAAGAAAACTGCGCTAATCTCCCAACATGAAATACAAGACAAACCTGGAGCTGCTTTAAAGTCCGGAGTGCAGGAGGACTCTGGCCCCTGCGTGCTCAGTCCCCACCCAGGGAATTTGCAACATTCACAAATTTGAATTCAATTGACCACATTCACTTGAAAAGGGACGGGATTGCTAAGCCGCAGTGATGGGAGTGACATTGAATACAAGATTGTGTAGCACTTTAAAGAACTTTCTTTTTATTACCAGCTCCATAATCACATTAACTTAGACTGAAAATTTGAACTAATTCTTTCCCTAGAGGCCCGAGCTGTAATAATTGTAGAAATCTGTGAAAAAGGATAAATACAATTCAATAATTATATTGATAAATAAAATGAAAATCAACTAATTGTGTCATTCACTCAGATGTTCACTTCGGCTGTTGCTGGCTTCATGCTTCGCCGCCTGCTAAACTTTTCTGTCACACTTCAATAAATTTAATTGTGCAGAATAAATGAGCTAATTTTTGAAGTCACAGGCTCTGTTTGCAAGATAAGGGTGGTGATTTATTGACCTCTCCTAGCTCCGTAGGAGCGTCACTCTCCTTTGCTACTGACAACTTGGCATCAGCCCGTTTTCTTGGCGGTTCATTCCCCCCTCCCCACCCCCCACTCCCTTCCCTTGTTGAGCCCTATGGTAGCCTCGCCTCTCATCTTCTTCTGGAAATCACTGAGTGCATATCTTAACAGTCTGGCAGGCCCCACTTCCTTTTGGCTGCAGAAGAAAATTCTGTGGTTTCTGTAGCTGTTCTTTATAGGATGATTATTTTTCCATTTCTGCAGGGACCTGAACCCATCATTCTGTTTGTCCCACTGGAGCCTCAAGTTGTGAACTTATACCTTTCAGTGCCCCCAGGTGCAACCCAGTGAGTCTGTAGGTGTGACATTGATCATGGAAACAACAGTTTTCTTTCTTGGGCTTGAAAGAGCTTCTTGTGACAGTGGTGTCACATTGGATCAAAGCACCCGATAAAACACAATTATTTTTTAAACGAGGCCACTTCCTGCATGTTGGGTTGAGATATGATAACCTAAGATATAACCACTCAAAATTCCAGGAAGGTTTTGAATAAGCAAAATAGAAGGTGTAATGTAGAGAATATGCCTTAAACCAAATGCCTTAGGGGGTAAAGTAGATTTTTCATACGTTTTTTCCATCATTATGTCCAGATTATTTTAACAACTGATTATTTCCCAATGCACTGCCAAAAAAACTTGTGTTACTTATGATTTCTCACCGTGTCTAACTTCTAGTACAATGCCTGGAATTTGTAGGTGTTCAGTAAAATAACTGTGGAATTAACACATCCACTGATTATACGTGAATCACACTAGTATAAAGATATCATATTAAAAGCAATACATGCATATATATTTCTAACTGTTATGGGACAATTTGGAAAATATGCGATTTGATACCAAATTATAGCATATTGAGCTTTACTAAGTGGAAGGATCAAACCAGAGTCGTAAGAGTAGAAAAATAACTCTGTTTTTAAATTTAAAAAAAATGTTTATTTATTTATTTTGAGAGAGTGAGCAAGTGAACAGCTGAGATGCAGAGAGAGAATCCCAAGCAGGCTTCACGCTGTCAGCACAGAGCCTGATGTGGGGCTCGAACCCACGAACCATGAGATCATGACTTGAGCCGAGACCAACAGTTGGAGGCTTAACCAACTGAGCCACCCAGGTGCCCTAGCTCTTTTTAATAAAGCAAGTCCTCTCAGTCATCACTAGGCATCTAAATGTAGCTCACAGAGAAAATATGGCCTGAGCTATATAGTAAGCCACTTATATACGGGAAAAGTCCCAGAGGTAGATCTCCCTGAGGAATCTGTCAACCATCAGCTCAGGGTGGCCTCCGTTGTCTGCCTCTCCTGGCATCAGGAAAGGTGATGGGACAGACTATCAATACCAAGATTTTGGGTCCCTGGAACTATGACTTCAATCCCATCATCAGGGAAACTCACAAAAGTACAGCCTCGCAAAAGTGTTGGTAAAATAGGGGATATGTGTGTTTGTGTGTGTGTTTGTGTGTGTGTAGGTGTGTGTAAATTAGCTTACTCTCTTGAACATGAAGAAGACAAATACATATAACTTTTTCTTTACCCTTTTATTTTCCATCTCTTTGAAGTCTGAGAACTTGGCTTGGGGAAGTGAAGAGCTGGCTATGGTGCTCTTAATGTAGACTCACTGTGATGGCTTTGTCCCGATGCACAGCAGAACCTCCAGGAAAGAGTCTCCAGGTGTTTGTCTGTAGGAAGTCATAAAGTCAATGCAAATCAGGGCAAATTCCCCACAGGCAGAAAAGAGTTTCAGAACACCGGAGCTCTGGCTGTCATTGTTCCCAGCTTTGCTGCAGGAACAATCACTTATTGATAATGGCACTCTTTAAAATAACCGTTGAGTAGGGAGTGAATTGGAATTGCTTGGTGCATCAGCAAAGGACAGAGGGAAGTTCCCATAAGTATTGACCATGCTGGATTCTCCCCACACGAAAATATCCAAAATATCCACCTTTCACTAGAACTGGAAGAATGACTGGGTCTTTTTCTACCCTGCTTTTCTCTTTCCTGCCAAAGTGTTTATTGAATCCCTAACTAAAACCACTTGTGCTCTTGAACTTTCCTCTTGGAAAAAAAAAGAAAGAAAGAAAGGAGCGATTATTGTTTCTTTCTCAGAGGGACACAAAGAGGGATTACCACAGGAAATCCAGAGAGGCTTTAGAAGACGAGTTTGCGTTCAGATGGAAGCCGGAAGCCCACTCGGCCAACTGCCTCCACGGGACCTGGCACTGGGGCAGGCCTGAGACATTGAATGCCGCTGAGCCTCTATGTGAACAGGAGAATTCGGTGCTTTATCTTCGAGGCCCTCCATCGCTCTGCCCTGAGTGCCTGGGAAACTCTGCGAGTCGTCGCCTGTGGCGGTGACACTGATTTGTATCTGGGTCTGAACTTCAATGAGAACGTGAATTGAACTCATTACTCGAGGAAGGAATCACTGCCAAATGTAACAGGATGGGATTGCAGCGGGGTATAAGGTTTTATGGGGCTGCAGTGAAATACCTCATAGAAAGGTTTCCAGTTCATAAAACACTTTCAAAACATGCTCAGGCCTTTTAAGTGGAGGGGACATTATCATTTCTATCTATAGAGTTTCTCTGCAAATGGAACTCAAATATCCTTTGGGTTGACTACATACACAGAGAACAGAAGAAAAGATGTGGAAGAAACTTGGACTAGAGATTGTCTCACTGGAAAGGTTTCCATCTGGTGGAATTATGTGAGAACAAATGACATCAGAAACTAGCACATCGGGACACTTCTGTCAGTTCCATATGGCCCAGCTTGCTTTTACAGGTATTTAATTAATTCAGCAAATATTTACCGAGTCCCTATCATGTGTGGAGTACTATCCTAGGCACTGGGGGTACAGTGGTCAATGAAGCAAGTCTACTCCCATGGCACATGTATTCCACAAGGAGAAAGAAATAACAAAAAATTGATCAGAAAATATATTGTGAAATGTCAGGTAGCGATCACCGCTCTGGAGAAAAGTAAAGCAGGAGAAAATGGGACAGAGGGTGTGGGGTGACATTTTAGACAGTATGTTTTGCAAAATCCACTCTGAGGTGGTGACATTTGAGCAGAAGCTTAAATGAAGTGACCTATATGTTGAATCCAGAAAACCATTTTTCTGTAATTTTGAAAGGGGGCAGGCAGGAATAAACTACTAAAAAGGTCAGGAAGTTATTTTTGGTTCAAAGATGCTCAGTTTAAATTGCCGTAAGACATGGCTCCCTTGTCTCCCACCATGTGGCACTTTTAGTGGCCATTTGGATAGAGCTCTGAACACTTTCTTGGAGATTTTCTGATGCATGTGGCATAGTAACCAGTGTGCGTTTTCCTGTCTTTCTGGCTTGACCTCTTTTTACTTGCTAGCAAGAAGCATAAGCTAAATAATTTTATACTTTTCAGTCCAGGCAGAAAATTATAAAGGAGAGGAGGTAGAAGTCAGAAAAACAAGATACTAGAAAAAAAAAAAAGGCCGAATCCAAGTGAGTGCATGGTTTTGTTTTCTGTCTTTCTGTAGCTTTCTCACTGACCCTTAAAAGTAAGTTTCTCTGCAAACTGCATTTCCCATTAGCAGGCGCTATACGATTTATTAAAATGTCTTTCCCTCCTGCAAGGTGCAAAGTCCACAATAGCAGATTTGAAAACTTTCCCATACTTCAGAGAGCAATGTGGGTTTTAACTTGGCGAGCACCAACATACAAACCAAGAACCTTTCACCCGCATGGAATGGAATGGAGTACGATAATGTTTATCAAACCCATGCTACACATGGCTTCTTTAGTTATAGAATGTGAAAAACGCCTATTTATTTTAAAAGAGAGTACCGTGCTGATTTTTGACTTTTACGCTAAAATTGCTAACTGCTTTCAATCACTAGATCACGTTATATGTTTAAAAGATTTCTGGGTCCTGGAAGTATTTATTTCCTAAACTAATGCTCATTCTGATTTCGAAGGAGAAAATTAGGAGGAAGTAGAACATGCATATGCCTGTGTTGTGTATTAATGTAATTTTAGTGGTTGGTGCACACTACAGCCTGAGGGAAGTTCTAGGATTAGAGTATTTAGAAAACATGGAGTCTGAACGTCAAGCTTAAGAATATGGTATTTAAGTAATGGTTTCTGTCCAGGTACTCTTCTGCTTGTGATAAGCCCCGCAGGCTGGCTCACTCACCAAGATCCTCAGTTTGAGGTGAGGAAACTCAGCGGAGGTACCAAGCCAGATGATAAATAGCTAAATGGGAGCCAGACTAATAAGAGCACCACTTACAGTGTCAGACATACTTGCATTTTAGTCTTGATTCTTGCAGGTCCAAATGTTTAGTCCTGGGCACGTTTCTCAAATTCCCTCAACCTCTGTTTCATCTTCTGTAAAATTGGGTTACAAACAGAAAGTGCTTAGCCAAATAGGTAACACTCCATGCAGGTTTTCACAAATCCTTTGCGAGTATTTTGTAATAAATATTAAACAACTTTCACGACTTACTGAATTTACTTGTTGAATAGTCACCATGGTCTCCAGTTGTGATCAAAGGTGTTGTCAGTGGTGTCAAATAGAAGCTCGTAGACAATAGCCATGACTATCGCTATGGAGACACCTCACTGTTCTCTGCCCTGAGACTGTCCTTAGGGCTTTCTGTTAACCTGGACTCATCTTTAGTATCTGACTGAGATCTTATTTTGTGTTACTCAACAAAATAATATTAAACAAATGTATACCTTTCAGAATCAGAAAGAAAGTAACTAGGGAGTGGAATAGAATGATAGCATTTCCAAATTCAATTTAATTCACTCGAATTTTGCTTTATTATTTTTTAAACATTTTTAAATTTTATATATAGGGACTGCACATGAGAAGAGAAGAGGAGCAGAGGGAGAGAGAGAGAATCCCAATCAGGCTCCATGCTGTCAACACAGAGCCCTACCCAGAGTTCAATCCTATGACCCTGGGATCATGACCTGAAATGAAATCAAAAGTCGGATGCTCAACTGACTGAGCCACCTGGGTGCCCCAAATATTGCTTTTTAAATTTAAAAACTACAGGGTTGCCTGGGTGCCTCAGTCAGGTCAGCATCTGACTCTTGATTTCAGCTCAGATCATGATCTTGCAGGTCATGGGATTGAGCCCCAAGTCAGGCTCTGCGTTGACAGTGTGGAGCCTGCTTGGGATTCTCTCTCTCCCTTTCTCTTTGCCCCTGCACACTCCCTGCTTGTGCTATCAATAGATAGATAGATAGATAGATAGATAGATAGATAGATGATTGATAGATAGATAGATAGATAGATAGATAAAAATTTAAAAGTATAAACTCTGGCTCAGCTAATAGGACAGTGGTTAAAGCAAACAATGATTACTTGTTTTCTGACATCAGAGTGAGTTGCACTGGTCTGAAAGGAGGGTGAGATGAAACCCCAGATTCTAGATGGGTCAAGCTCTAGAGAGAGGGATAATAGTAACTTTGAGGAAATGGAGGTGAGTGAACTTGATTCTACTCTGAAAATTCTGAGTCACTGTGCATGGCTGTGCACCTATGTATCTCACAGAAACAAGATGCCTGAAATCTGAGTAAAATGTATGTGTATAAAGTATAAGTGCTATTTACTTAAAGAGAAGAATTCTAGCATCAAGGGTAGAAATGTTGGCTTGTGCTGAGAAGACGAAAAAGTAGAGATAAAAATAAGTAAATTGTAATCCTTTGTATAATCTTTTTTAATTTGAGAAAACATGATCATTTAAATTCTAATACATTAATAATAATTTCCTTTTTTCTCAATGGACTCACACAGGGGACATCTATATCTGTCTCTAAGTAAAGGCCTATAATTATTTCAGACCAACACAATGATTTATGGAGTGCCTACTGTGTGGCATAGACTCTGAGAGTCACTTCACCTCCACTATTCAATTTAATCCTTTCGCCAACTCAAGAACATGGTATTATTATCCTTGTTTTGTAGATAGAAAAAATAAAAGGGGCCCAAAATGCTTAAGTATGGCAGACAAGATCATGTAAGTAGTATGACAAAAACCCTGCATATAAAACCAGCCTTTTGATGTGAAGGTCAACGTTCAATATACGTCCTTCTATGTAAGAATTGTTAGAAATAATGTAATTATCATGTATGAAGCTTTTTCCATTGCTATTTTAAAATACTGCTGCCAAATAGCTCAGATGTGATTAGTGACTTACATCTTTAAGCTTTATTTGGTTCATCTTTAAAGGTTTTATTCTCAGTAAATTTTTGTTCAATAAATATTAGAAAAGTAATTGCTTAATAAATTATTTCTTGAACATCTATGGCTATCTATCCAGTGCCATAAGATCCCAAACGCGGGTCCCTATGAAACCTAGCTGAGAGGGTATGAGCTGAGGATTAGCCCCCTAGCAGAGTCACCCCACTCCCCACATCCACACAACCCCCTAGTTGTCCATCAGTTCTCTTTTTTAAGGACAAATTTTAAAGTTTATTTATTTTTGAGGTGGGGAGGGGCAGAGAGAGAATCTCAAGTAAGCTCTGTGCTGATGTGGGGCTCAGTCCCACGAACCGTGAGATCATGACCTGAGCCAAAACCAAGAGTAGCACGCTCAACTGACTAAGCCACGCAGGTGCCCCCAACCACCAATTCTCAAGACAGAACTGACATAATTTGTAAGGCCTGGTGCAAAATTATAATGTGGGGCACTTTTTTTGTCCAAAAAGTATCAAGAATTTCAAAACAGCAAGAGTAGAGCATTAAACCAAGCCCAGAGGCACTCTGGGTTTGGGGCTCTGTGGACTGAACAGACTATATATCCGGGAAACCACTTGGGTCTAAAGAGATGGGCGCTCACCTTTGTACACTTTCCCTCAGAAGAATAAAGACTTTTCCATGCACAGCCTTTGAGATCAATGCGGTAGTGCTTCTATAAACATCTTGCTGAAGAAATTACTTTGTTTGGATGATAGGTACCCCGTTACTTCCTCTCCTGGTCTCAGATATGTGCCATTTCTCCCCTGTAGTTTCTGCAACTTAGCAGGAGGGATGGTATCCTTGGATCATCTCTGTTAGGTCTAGAAGGGCAGGAGCCATGCCTGTCTTATTCGCCGTCATATCCCCAGCACCTCGCCCTTGCCCGTCACTTAATAGGTGCTCAGTAAATTCTTGTTGGGTGACTGAAACATCAAATGGGTGAAAAGATACCGGAGGGGAAGTAGTGACATTTAAAATTATTACAGCACTGAACAAACGGTAAGATTATTTCTGTTCTCAAAACTCTGCAGGAGAGCAACTAAAAAATTTTAAGTTACTTTATTGTAAACCAATGATCATGATACTATCTCCACATCCACACATCTTACTTGTTTGCTCGGTTTTGCGTTTATTTTCCCATAAGGAATGGCTTCAGCAAGAGTTAAACTCAGTGAAGAAAGTAAGAGGACTGCAAAGCTTCCCTTGCTGTTCTGCCAACTGGAATGTTCCATGTGCTGCTTTTAGTGAACAGGGTAAGCCTTGACGCTAAAATCAGATCAGTGAAAGTTTGTATCCATGGATGTATTCACACACACACACACACACACACAGAGAGAGAGAGAGAGAGAGAGAGAGAGAGGCTCTCATTAGGAAATTAATTGAAAAATAAATGAAATAGGGGTTCAATTTGGATCATGAAACCGATAGCATGCTCTCTGTACTACAAAATTCATTGTAGTATATCTGAAAAGAGAGCAGACAAGGACAGCAAACCTTAGAGACCTCGAAAACCACCAATATTCACAGAAGACTGAAGTTGATTTTTTTTTCTTCTCTTCCCCTCACAGTAAGTCTAATAGCAACGAATCCCGGGGAACTAAAAATATACGGGGTATACAGTAACTCCCTTCTTTGGCTCTTTTTATAATGTATACAAATCTGACTGATAAAAGGCTCAATTCACTCGGCAGCGAGCTGGCTTCTGTCTGATGGAATTTCACCCTGGAGTTTTCACAGGGAAAGCAGTTGGAGCCTTTCTATCTCCCATCCTTCTCTGTGGGAGATGGAGCCTTATGAATCTGAGTGATAGCAATACGCAGTCTGGGACATGGTGGTCGCTGTGTCTGCAGGCATCTGACAAGAGGGGGATATGATTGTAGCAGTGTGTTTGGGAAGTCTGGCTTTCTCCCTCAAAGCCCTCTTTATTCTAAGGTTACCTGGCATTGCATAAGAGCCAAGCAGGCAAATTAAATTCCTTCTATTCAGCCTTGCAGAGACGTGAAAAAAACTCATCTCTCAGCTGGCAATATTTGTCACTGGCTCTGTCCTTCCTGGCAGCAGGCTGCTGGGCATTCGATAGCCAGGCTAGTCAGGAGCAATATTTTTCATTTTTATTTATATCTTAACTTTCTTTACTTCTTTCAGGATCATCCAAATTAATTTAAGGCCCTGTGTTTGTGTAGACTAATTTCCATGGCAACTCCGCCGTATTTGGCTCTGCCTTTCTCTGCCTCCAGGAGGATATGGATCTAGGATGACCATAGCATCAGGTATCTCTCTGATTTTTGTACACTTCACTTCTCACTTTTGACATTTAAATTTGGAGTCACTCAAATAATTATCTTGCTCTCTTTGAAACCGTCAAACTTGCAATTCACTGTACGTTTCCCATGGGCCGGTCATGTTGGACAGTATCACTGTATTGAGTTTGATTTGTTCTCGCCATGGTCAGGTTGAGATAAAAATTTGTCAAAGCAAAATTATGTGCATCAAAAGAAGATTTTCAAAATTGTTTCAGGTCATCGATTGGTCTTGCAAGCCTCTGTTGAACTTGGAGATTATAAAAATTTAATGATTATAATTATAATTTTATAAAAGTTTGCAGATTTTGCCAATAACTACAGTTTCTCAGGTGAGAACGCTACAGTTCACACCTCTGGCCAAGGATATTAGAGCCTCGGTTCAGGTAGAGGACCTCCAGGTAAAAATCTATGGTCTTTAAGAAATTATGGAGCAGCAGGGGTGCCTGGGTGGCTCAGTCGGTTGGGCGGCCAACTTCGTCTCACTCAGGTCATGATCTCATGGTTCGTGGGTTCAAGCCCCACGTCAGGCTCTGTGCTGACAGCCTGGTCAGAGCCTGCTTCAGATTCTGTGTCTCCCTCTCTCTCTGCCCCTTCCCTGCTCTCACTGTCTCTCTTTGTCAGATATAAATTTAAAAATACATTAAAATTTTTTTAAAAAAGAAATTATGGAGCAGGGGACAGTAGATTAAAGTCAGGCAAATGCAGTTCTTCTTAAGGGAGAAAATTGGGAAGGGGAAGGAACAAGAGAGGAAGAAAGAGGAGTGAAAATAGAAGGACAGACATGGGGAGGATGGAAGAAAGGAAAAGAGAGAAAGGAGAAAAAGGGAGGAAGGGTGATTCTACGCAGCAATACCGGTGAGTTTGACATTAGTCCAAGAGAGAATTCTAGATTGGGTTAAGAAAGTGATGCTTTGGGGCGCCTGGGTGGCTTAGTCGGTTAAGCGTCCGACTTTCGCTTAGGTCATGATCTCGCGGTTCGTGGGTTCGGGCCCCGCGTCGGGCTCTGTGC